ATTGGTAGGAACGTGGAATGCAATAACATTACATCCAGATTTTCGTTTTCTACGCTTAATAACTTTTGGGTACTTTTCATTTCTATACTTAAATGCCTCTTTCGCAAGTTGTTTATAATAAGCTTGAACTTCTTCTGGCTCCTTTTCCCACGATTGAGACGAGAGTGATGAGACAACTGTCATTGGCAAATAATATCCTTCATTTCGTGCTGTTTCTGAAAATACTTTTCTGTAAATAATAAACGCATTGGGTGACCTTGGTGCTTTACTTTGGTTAGGTTTAGAAAAAATCAGTTCTTTAACATCGATCGAAGGTGGAAATGGAACATTGACTTTGAATGTACCAGTCTTGTCAACAAACTTATACATATTACTAATTTGACTTTGATTTGACTCGCTCATCCTTTTTTTAATTTGAAGTTTTGTTCCATTTTAATCCATTTCGTTTGGCATTAAATAAATTTTCTAATTTTTTTTCCATCAATTTTCAATTAATGATTTGTAATTAAAATTATTTGCCTTTCGTTATTCTGCATATGATTAAGGCATTGTTTGTATACCCAAAATGTCTAAAAAAAATCTTCTTCATGTATAACGATAACTTCTATTTTTAACCGTCTCGATACAAGTTTTTCTAAAACGGTTGATGTATTACAAATAAATGTTATGAACAAAAGCATCTAAATTTAACAAAGCCACAATAACAGAATTAGGGAGATCGCCGACTTTTAATTTTATCTCAATGATTTATGTAACAAAGACTATTTGATATGACGTACAGTCATATGATTTAAACGACTTTATTTAGATACCAAATCTAATATAGTAAATATCTAATATCATCGATATATATGCACATGTATATTCGCAAATACGTATGTACGTACGGTTAAAATTTTATAAGTTCGGATAATTTATTTTTGACATTGTTAATACATTAAACTATGTTATGTAAATATTATTTATCCTTACGCAATTCAAATTTCTAATAGCACTATTTAGTATTAAATATTTTAATAAATAGCTGCATCAGAAACTAAAAATTATATTAATAATAAAATGGTATTTAATAAAGTGTGTTATTCCTTTTAGATTAATTAGCAAATAATAAATTCATTACATCAATATATATTTCTAGGTATATTGGTAATTAATAATGTGATCAAGAAAAACTTGGGCCGGCGTTGTGCGCACCGTACTTGCCATGCACAATAAATTTATATAAAAAATTTGTAATTGTAGAAGATTCTATGTTATTTATAAATAGATCAGATCTTAATTGATTTATTTTTTGTATAATATTTATTCTAAAAATATTTAAGTATAAAAGATAGCAAATTTAATAGTAAAAATTGTTAAAAGTTAATATAGTTTTTCTATAGGGGTAGAATGCAGCTAGCTTACAATGAAAAAATTCTTGTATGCCAAGTAAACCTTCATTGAGTTTCTAACAAATATTGTAGAGCAAGCTATTCCGGTTCTAATAATGGTAGAATTATTAAAATTAGTTTAGCAGATCGCGAGTTATTTACACCTTCCTTCATGACTATATGATCTTTACACATTACCAAAAACTTTCGGCATTCTAACATTATATGAAAATAACAGTAATTCTCCACCGATTTTACTGTGAAATTTATACCCTTTAACTGCGATCTGCCACTTAATGTTTTTTGTCTTATTTTGATATTATAATTAAATATTATTGTTTATAGAACATTATAGTAAAGACATAAGAAAATTTTGTATATGTGCTTACAAATTATAATTAATTGCTTAACAGACTAATTTTGTGTTAATGTTTTATTTTAATTAGCCAATCAAATATCTTTAAATATAAATTATTAAATATTAACATCCAAAATATTGCAAATTTTTTATGCTAAAATTAGTGATTGGATCCGGTGGGTACCATCCGGATCTCCCGTAGGTGACCCGGTTGAGTTGTGGCAACCTGGGTGGAAACAGGTGGTCAACCTCATAGGGCGACATTCATCTAATTGGCTGATGTAAATCAGATGTCTGGGAAACTTATACATTTTAGAGTACTTTTTAAGAAAATAACGTTTCACTAATAAAAAAATCGCCATAAAAGTCATTCTTAGCTTTGAACGAACGTTAATATTCACCATACAAAAGAATCCGAAAAGAATTTATTGGATACGCTGTAGAGTAAAGGTAACTGGAAATGTTTTTCGTCCAAAACTATTTAATTACGTTAGATTTAAATAAATTTTGTTGCTAACATTTAATTTGAATAAGTTCAGGCTTTTTTAGTAGTAGAAGGTCGGTGGTTTTTGTAGTGTACTTGGATTTGTCAACCACAAATTAGAGCTTAGTTTATATCTTGTAGATTCTTTAATGAGTTAAAGTTTATTGGTAATAAATATCATATTTATTTCACTTTACGTGTATTTATCCATTCTCTAAATATATGTAATGAATTTTTTTGCATGTATTTATGAGTTTTGTATGCTTCTTCATGTGAAGTTTTTGTCGCTTTCAATTAGTATTAAAACAATAAATTCTTTTAAATTTATGCAATAAAAATTAATCAATTATTTAAATGTCATTTTATGAGGATTCGTGTTACTCATATGCCAAACTATGGGTGGCCTCTGGATGTGGAATTTTTTAATTACAGCTGTTTTCTCATTCTTTTTTTATCTCTTTATTTTTTTGTTTTTATATTTTATAGTAATCCCTTATACCTTTGTGTTTTTT